GACACAGGCAGCAGCGGGCGCGTAGCGAGCCCATTTACTTTATTTTTATTATTTTGCATTCCTTTTCGGAGCAACACCCCATACCCCTCCCATTCTAGCGATTCAGTCCTCCCTCCATAGCAGATAGCACCCCCACCCCTCGGCAGAAGCTGCTCCCTGGCATTTCTCTCTGACAACTCACGTAGTATCCGTTTAGCCCATAGAGTATGAGCATAGATAGACTTTTTACGAGAGGAGAGGGCACTATCCTGCGGGAAAGACTCGACTCGAGAATGAAGCACTTCCAACTAGGAAGCCCGGTTAGCTCAATCGGTAGAGCGTGAGACTCTTAATCTCAAGGTTGTGGGTTCGACCCCCACATTGGGCGCTATCAAATCTGATCATTTCGATGATCAACTCCTTTTTGCACAAGCAGCACGGAGGACAGCTGGGATGGATGAGAATGGAGCATTTCTTTTTCTCGCCACACCCACTTCTTCCTTTTCCTCCTCTTCGTTCTCTTTTTTATTCAGAACTATCATGCCATGTACCACCAGCTGATGCAACCTCATATCAAGGCTGGAATTATCCCAGCATTCATCCTTGTCGCCTTTGGTTTCCTCCAAGTCTATCTCTACACAAGCAGTATGTTCTCCCCCCCCCCTCTCTTTCTCTCTGTGCACAGTACTCGTTTAGAACTGTAACCTGTTTCTATTGTCCCATGCAGTAAAGATGGACACAAAGTGCTTCTCCACAACTTATTAATTTTTGTCGCTCATAACTTTGATTTGCTCTCTTTTCCCTTTATCTTTTCAAAAAAAAACAAAAAGATCCGCCAGAGAGTCGACTACTTCAATTCAATGCCATCGAAGCCTCACCAGAATCTCGCCGACCCCTTCGCATTCCAATTACGATAGTTACGGCAGCAAGCGGAAACCATGCCTGTGCGCTCGAGGCTTTTCTTTATCATATGGACGCACTCTTTGCGCAACTCGACCTTGATCCGGATCAGATAGAGCAACGGCTTCAGGAACGAATCCAACGTGGACTCAAGTATGCTACAATAAGTCGAGATCTGGAAGTCATTCGACCAAAGACTCGACTAAGAATCAAAAGCAAAAAGGCCAAGAACAAGAGCAATAACAAAGATAAAAGTATGGAAAACGGGACTGGGATCAAGACGAGGACTGAACTCGGTGAAACGGGAACCGAAAAAAGAATCAAAGACAGTCCCGATGCGGACCTGCACACCAGCGGACCAGAGAAGAGGAATGACGATGAGGTCAAGGTTAAGAATCGCCCTGATTCCTTAGCCAACGATGATGGACGGGGTGGCCAGAGTATAAAAGTTGCGACCAAAATTGGGGTACGAGAGGCCAAGGCGGAAAGTGATGCCAAGGAGAGCAGAGGCAGCAAAGGCAGTAGCAACACTAACAGTAGTCAAAGAATCAGTCAAGGGTCCCACCGTTTGTACGAGATCCGACCCAAGATCGTTGTATACAATATGGGCATGACACCTGGCAAGCGTAAAAAGAGGCGGCTTCGAGCTTTACTCGAGGCAGGACTTGTGGATGAAGCATTCGATTTTGATTTCGAGAAGTATCCTTCCTTCTGGGCATTGAATCCAGTGACTCGAGGCGAATACGGTTGGAAAGTTGGGATTGTGAACGAGGTGATTCAAAGAGTCCTTGCGGAGTCCTCCACTACCAGCGCGGATACCGAGAGTGGTACCTTGAAAATGACGCAACAGATCAGGAAGAGACAGGGACATGTCTCAGATGATCTCAATGACGACAACAACAGTGATGACGACGGTGATTGGAGCCTTGAGGATACGGATGACAGAAACAGTAACATGGCTGAAGAAGAAATGACAGATCAGGAGGCCAAGGAATGGGCGAGTGTTGAAGAGGTTATTGACGAAAGCAACTCTTCGGACATGGACAAAGAGGCCTTCCAAGAGCAGGATGAGGACGAGAATACCATGGTGGACGAGATTAACCAGACTGGAGGACAAAAGAGTAATCCTCCCTCTTACAAAAACACGAGTCAGATCGATACTGGAAAGAGTTCATTGCCAACTCCACACGAGCCTGGTATTGTTCTCTGGCTGGACTCGGGTGACAGGATCAGCTTGGCCTTTCTGCGGTGGCTTCCGAGCTTTATGAGACATTATGGACTCTGGACACCTCAATCCCAAGATTTTATGTCAACCTGGACCCATCCAGGTATGCTTAAATACTTTGGCGATTCAATTGACCAGTTCCCAGAAGAAGAGACCAACTGCAATGGTGCCGCAATTGCATTTGATATCCACAATACGACTGTGAGAGAAGGCCTCTTGAAGCAATGGGTTCAATGCGCCATGGAGAAGGATTGCATAGCGCCCCAGGGATCCTCTCGTGAAAACCATCGCCAAGACCAGGCAGCCTTGACCTATCTTGTAAAGACAATGGGCTTTAGTGACGAACTTTGTCATGGAATGCCAGAAGCCTTTGGGGTCCAAGTCAACCAAGATCACTATTGTCATGAAGACATTGCATCCAATTTAAACAGAGTCATCTCCAATTAAGAAGAAAGATGGCTGGGTTATTTTTTCTAGTAATATTTTATTGAATGCTTAATTGGAGGAGAGAGACGATGTCATAATAGTTTATGACAGTCGAGGATATCAGATATAAAGATAATAATGAAGAATAAAAGAACCAATCATTTCACCATTGGAGTCACTCAAAACTGGGGAGCAAGGCTTTTCCGCTCGGCTTCTTTTGACATCTCTAGCAATGTGTCAAACTCTCCTGAACGTTGGCACATGCCTTTAAAGATACCCTCTTCCCGAATCAACTTCCAAGGTGTGTCATACTGGACAACTTGTCCGTGGTCCATCACTAGAACTTTGTCAAAGTCAATGATCGTCCTCAATCGGTGGGCGATCGTCAACAGGGTCGACTCCTTGAATTCCTCACGGATCGTTGCCTGGATACGAGCGTCTGTCTCGTGGTCGACCGAAGCTGTTGCTTCATCCAGGATGATGATCTTGCTCTGCTTCAACAATGCTCGTGCCAATCCAATAAGCTGTCTCTGACCCTGAGAGAAGTTATTGCCATTCTCGTGCACCTCACTATCTAGATTGCCAAACGAGTTTGACTCCGTATCGTCGCTAGAGATCAAGTGAACACGCTTCAAAGTTGCCCACAAGGCGGCATCATTGTGCTCATTGAAGGGGTCCAAGTTACTACGGATTGTTCCAATAAACAGGACTGGGTCTTGAGGAATGATTGTCAAGGATGAGCGCAGGTCATGAACACCCAACTTGGAGATATCGACATTGTCAACCGTAATCTTGCCAGAAGTCAACTCCATGAATCGGAAAAAGGCTACAGCAAGTGTCGACTTTCCTGCTCCCGTTCGACCAACAATTCCGATCTTTTCTCTAGGGTTGACATGAAAAGACACGTTGCGGATAACAGGTGGGTCCTCGGGGGAGTACTGCATCACAAGGTTCTCGACTTCAATCTCGCCATTGTTGGGCCAGCCTGGTGGAGGGCGCGAACCTTCAATGACCGCAGGTGGTTCTTGAGGCAGATTCATGTACTCGCCAATACGTTCGACCGAGTTCATATTCATCTCGTTATTCGAATATAAGCGTACGAGCCAGAGAACGTGGTCCGTGAAGGTGAGTGAGTACGAGAGCGAAAGACCGGCGGTCGGGGCGTCGATATTTTCACGGTTGATGATAATCAAAAATCCGGCAAAGAACGCAACCAGCGCAGAGAGGACATCCACACGGATCGAGAGCCAGCGGTTGCAAACCCAGAGGTAGAAGAATGGTCGATTATGCTCATCCAACAGATCCAAGTTCTCATGCATGAATCGCTTCTCTTGTCCATAGGCACGAATCGTAGCAACACCAGAGAGGGACTCTCCAAAGTGAGAAAAGATGGGCGACTTGGTAATCGATTCGATACGCTTCAGTTCACGAGAGGACCGGAGGTAGAGTGTTGCCATGATTACAAACATGATCGAAATGACAAAGGCTGGGATCAAGAACTGGGGTGTAACATAAGTAATGACCATTACAACCGTCAATGTTCCCAAGAAATCAAACATGAGGTTGGATGCGATTGGTGCGACTTCTTGATCGATCGTCTCGACATCCTTAGTGAATCGGTTCATAATTCGGCCAAGAGGAGTAGTGTCAAAGAAACGCACTGGAGCATTCAGGATCTGCGACAACAGACGGCCGTGGATAGATCTGGAGGCTGTGAGCGAACCGTTGTACTGGACAGCTTGACGGCACATGATGGTAATTATGTAGAGGACCGAAAGCGCAGCATAGATTCCAAGGTAGTACTTCAGATCGCCAATGTCGCGTCGAGGGATGGTGATTCCAGAGGCAGAAAATTCAGTGGAGGCTGGGTCCTCATAAGACAATGCAGACATTGGGCTCATGGGTTGACGAGTATCATAAAGCTCTTGACGGCACTGTCGAATGGGATTATTGCCAAAGTAGCTGTGGTCCATACGGTACTGGCATGCAAAGGACATCAGCAAACCGGATGCATTCGCGGCAATAGTTGAACTCTCCGTGGCAAATGAGGGGATTGATGCAGCAGCAAAGGAAGAGGTCGAGTAAGCGCCGCCATTGTTATCATCGTCATTAGCAGCAGCAGCCCAGAATCTAAGCCAGGTATCCGAGGCGACCTGGAAGACCTGCATAAAAATGAATGCAGCTGCCAAAAATATCCAGAAAGGAGTGCCACCCATCGACCCAAAATACAACTTGTAAACATTCCACGAGACAGAGCCATCGGTCTTGCCCTCATCCTCAATAAGCTTCTTTTTCTCCTTGGCTGATACTGTCGAATCTGTCGAAGCATCGTCGCCGCTTGAGGCCTTCTTTTTCTTGCTCGAGGGTACTAATGTGGTTCCTACAGCTTGTCCAGTCGAACTTGATCCAGAAGCCCCGTTGTCGTCTTCAGTTTCTTCAATTCCTGCAACAGTCCGGTCATCCGTATGGTGTTCATCCATCATCTGTTCCTCATTGTTTGCATCGTCGCCGAGAACGCCAGACTCAATGACTTGAGTTGGGGTACCATTTGCCATTACGGCACCGTTCCTGAGGACAACAACATGGGCAGCTCCGCGAAGAGTCAGCGAGACGGCATGTGTAACAAGAATACGAGTACGCCCCTGCATCAGTGGTCCCATCAGACATTTGGCAAAGAGCCACTTTGCAGTATGGGCGTCCACTGCAGAGAGGCAGTCATCCAGCAAAATATGACCAGCTCGCGAATAAATGGCTCGAGCAAGAGCAATACGCTGCTTTTGACCACCAGAGAGAGTGATTCCACGCTCGCCAATTTCCGTCTCATCGCCGTATTCCAA